CTGCCGTTAAAACAAAGTTATTTATACCCTTGTCGTTACTAATTTCACCATTTATACCCCTCAATTGACGGAAATCCCCAAACTAACTCAAATTAACCAATTTTTACTTAAATTTCCCAATTTTAACCCGACCCGACCCACCCAATAATATAACCCATTTTTGTTCTATCTTCATTCTTGTTCATCTTCATCTTTAAACTTGTGTTCCTTTTCAAAAACAATAAAATCATCCAACACAGCCCAACAATATCGAAAATAATGTAATAATGGCTATGAACCCAAAAACACAAGAACACAACAATGATTAAATACAGATAATCGGAGCATTATTTTTCAGTCAGATCTAAAAAATTGTCGAAATTACTGGAGCTTGGAGCTCTAATTCGTCGTTGTTGATTTCCTCCGGTCTACCGGAGTTAGGATTTCACGGTGATGGCTGGACACTGTTAGCGATGTGGGTCTGGATGAGAGAGCAGAGAGCAGAGTCAGTTTTCCTTTGACCCGTTCTTGGAATCAGAGAGGAAGACCTAGCTCTATCGATCAAAATAAAATAAAATAAAAAGGCCACCAGACTGAAGTTAGAGATACAGTTCATGTTTCAAGTAATTAAAATGAAATTTTCAGTTGAGAATGGTTGTATCATGGATATTAATATATACCAAAAACTATACTAAATTATTAGTACTAAAAAAAAGGAACACACACCTCTTTGGAATCTTCTTATGCCTCGCATAGTTCACAAGGAACCAGCCACCAACATTGAACTTTATATCGAGCAGGTATGGGAAAAATTATAAATTGATGAATAGTAATGCCTATGTATCAACCTATGTCAGCTTAAGAACATTATTGGAATTTTTCGAAAGAACTTAAAGCTACGGAATCCACAAGTTTAAAGATGAAGATGAAGATGAACAAGAATGAAGATAGAACAAAAATGGGTTATATTATTGGGTGGGTCGGGTCGGGTTAAAATTGGGCAATTTAAGTAAAAATTGGTTAATTTGAGTTAGTTTGGGGATTTCCGTCAATTGAGGGGTATAAATGGTGAAATTAGTAACGACAAGGGTATAAATAACTTTGTTTTAACGGCAGGGCTATAATCAACTAATAAATTGAAGTTGAGGGGTATTTTTGACACATAGATTTCTATATTAAAGTAGGAGATAAGAGAGGCAAAAGAACTTGCATTGATTTATTTTTATTATTTAGCCCTAAGAGAATTTTAAAATAACTTGATCAATGAAAATTCATATAGTCGATCTCATTGATTACGCTAATAAACTAAAGTTGAGGGGTATTTTTGACCCTTTTCCCTATATTATATAAACTCCCTTAGAAAATAAATATATATTATATATATTATATAATAGAAAAAATGATTTATTATATTATATTATTATATAGAATATTATATAGGGAGTTTATGATGGGACATTGAAATGTCCCATCATAAACTCCCTCTTATATATAAGTAGAACTATATGTTAAATCAATTTTTGAGAGAAGCAAACCCCATCCCTTACATATCTCACGAATCTGAGCTAGCGCCACCAGATAGATCGAAGATGGTGGTCTTCATCATCCGTGAAGTTTTGAAGGTCATGAGAGTTGAATATGTCAATTATTCTGATTCTAATATTCATAACTTCAAGGACTGATTATTTATGAGAGTTGAATAGCTGTTATAAATAGTAACCTGTTACTGATTCTTAACGACAGGGTGATTACTTATAAAATTTACAATTTTCCAATATTATAATATAAGAAAAAGAAGTCTATTTAGAGAAGACCATAAACTGTTGCAGCAGATAAAGCTTGCAACTTGCAAGCAATGACAACGAGCACAAGATGAGTAAAGCCATCACCAAAGCATCAAAAATTGAAACATTTGATACAATCATGTATCTTTAGTACAGAGTGCAAAAAACAACTGACCAAGATCAGTTGCAAAATAAGGAGCAGAGATAAAGATGCTCAGGCCCCAAAATTATATCAAAGCTAATTTCTTGGTCAGAACTCTTATTATTCAGAAGGCAGCCTCTTGGATGTCTGGTACAACTACATTTTTAGGGGTATTAAAATTTATGTTCAAGGGTAGCACAAGATCAACAAGGTGCAAAAGGAAAATAACAAATTTCATTTTTTAAATGAAGTTTCTGATGTCCAGAGACTTCACAGTGGGCATCTCCTCATCCTTGAACTCCTCCCTGCAAGTACAGAGAATTCAAATTCAAAATCTGCGAGAAAAACAAATAACCCAACCTACATGTAGGGGTAAGAGAATGAGCAACCAAAGCCCTATTTATTACCTCTTCTTCTGAGTTTCCATTGCTTCAAGAGCATCCTTTTTCAGTTCTTCTAACTGTGCCTTTGCAATCTTCAGCTCCAACTGTTCTTCATATTTGGGCAATTCTTCTTTACGAATGCCAAGCCTAAGGCATTTTTAAAAAAAAACATTGATGATCAATTACCTACATAAACTCTGAATCATATATCATCTGAATCACAATGGCTCATACTACATGCTGCTGAGTAAAATAGGCCACAGTTTTTGGTTAGGGTAAAGTAAAATACCCCCAAATAAGTCAACAAATGGCTGAGTAAAATTTTTAGGATGCTGGTTTTGATCATTTACATAACGAACGACCAACTGCTCCTCAAAATTTGTAGACAATCAAAAAATTGAAGCACTTGCAAATAGAATCAATTAACATCTGCATAAAGAAGCTTACTTCTGGTTGATCTTATCAAACTCAGCTGTAAGAAGAGCTATTCCCTTTTTGTCGTTCCTCAGTAGTGGCTTTTTTAATTCTTTCTCAACTTTATCCAATGCTGCCATCTGCAAATCCTCTATACCTTGAGAATCGATGAGGCCCCTCCTGACCAGATAATAGATGAAAAAGAAAGGGGAGTGAAGAAGTGCTGATACACCTTATGTCTAAAGGATGAATAAAATGTCTGTCTATGAGATATGGAACAAGAGAGGAGAACACAATTACTCAATAAAGCAATAATTACTGGTAAGTTGAGAAAGCAGGCTAATGAAATTGAAGCACATAGACGCTTTTTTGCTCCAAGCCCATTACTGAAGTTACTAAAATTGCAACATTTGGAATCATGTTCAAATTTCAGAATTCTTTGTAGGATACGAAGGGATATCAGTGAAAATCAACCAATTGTGTGAAAGATAACGAAGAGCATACTGCCTTTATTATTTATTTACTAATTATTGATAAAGAAGCATACCATCTTGTTTTTATAAATACCAAAAGCATGTTGCATGATAACTCACATAACTCATGAAATATTATAACTAGCAGGTAAAAGATAAGCATTAGAATGCATACTTGACACGCATCTCCTTCAGTTTCAACAAATATGTTCGGGCATCTGGAATTTCATGTGTTTCTACTTCGATGTTGAACTTAATAATTTCAGACTCTGATAAGAGATTAGCCCTGCGAACATGGGAAATTATAACATTAGCAATTGATCATAAAAAATTATGGAATCTAACCAAATAATGCAGCATGCATGTCCATAAATAAAACTAAGTACTGTTTGACCATGCAATAAAATAGAGGTTTCTACTTTCAGGTACATGAAAATAACATGTGATTCTTGATGAACTAAGGTATAATGTGGATCAACGTAAAAGAATTACTGGGACGCCAAACAAAATAAACAAGGACGGACCTATTTTCACATTATTAATAGATAGTTAACAAACTAAATATGGTCCATCTCCAGCAAGCATCTTGATGTAATGGCAAAGCACATTAATGGTAACAAGAACTAAATTTAGGAATAGCTGAACCTTCAAATGAACAGCTGAGTAGGATGTTCAATATGAATTCTGAACCACGTGCTATCAGAGTTTAGGTCAGCCACCAAGTGCTGAACTGTTTCTCTGGTATTTACAAACTAAAATTGAACTTCATAAGAAAAGGTTAGGTATCCTACTTTTGTCTAACAGACTTCATGACTTTCGCATACTCAGATACAGCAGCAGGATCTTCTGGTTCTATGGTGATCTTCTCCTTTCGTAGGACACCAATTGCTGTCTCAAGCTTGTTCTTAACCTCATAAAAGATGTCCTTCAATACCTCTTCATAAGCACACAAAAAGTCAGTGTCACAGCAATGCAACAATACACAAACAACATTGCAATAGTACAAGCCCAGTTTGATTGCCAGAAAAAATCCACATACTATTACCAAGACAGATAGAATTATTAGGTCGGGTGACAAGACTCTAAGAGGACAGTTTTGATCAAGGCCTGACAAGAAAAAGAATATAGTATTTCTAAAACACTAACCCATTAGGGATTTTCTGGCACAAGATTTCCCTAGTTAGTCGAAACAAATAAATAAAGTTGAAGAAAAGCTATCTGAAAGCATACACCCTATCAATGGAGAGACAGGTGAATTAGATACCAAGACCTAACTTAAACTCTATATTGGTCCTGCAAACACCAGTATCAGAGTTTTTTATGAGTATGCTATTTCCAGCTTAGTTCACCCTAAAAATAAATGTTACTATCTTGTGCCTTCCTGTAGAGACAGTAAACAGTAAAGTATATGTCAATTGGGCCTGCATCACCTATCTAGGAGCATAAAGCGTCTTAGTGTTAAAGTACTTCATTGAGATACAAAGGATGCACCAGATGCATCTCGCATACAACTAATAATGAGGAAAAGCATTATGCTTATTAGAAAAGTAGATGAGACTTAACTTATGCAGTAAAAGGATAGTGTTGGCTGCAGTACTCAATCATAATGCAAAAAATAAGAGCAGAAATATCCATACACAGCACGCACATGCATAGGCATTCTTCACAAGTTCCAAGGTAACAGGAATCTAAAAGCCCCAGAGCATCATTCAGAAGCATACCATGATGGTGTTCCTTAGTCATACTTCCTCCTTATTTTAGTCTTGTTTATGCTATTAAATCTAGGTTAAAATATTGAAGTTACATTAAAAAAAATACTAACAGAATTACCACATAATGAACAAAACAGAAAATATATTACAGCTGATTTCTTCAAAGTTAATTGTTCAGATCTTCTGAGTTCTGATACACAGACAAGATAAATGAAAAACAAAATGAAAAAGAAACTAAGTCGGCAAAAAGAATCACAGTTGTTTCAGCAAAGATTGTTTTTTTAATCAAGAAAGTATCAAAAAGAACATCCTGAAATACTTACGATCTCCCTTCAGTGTAGTGGGAGCAGCAGCTTCTTTGGCAAAGGAACGAACTGGAACTGCATGCTCGGGTCGAAGAACAACCTGACCAGCACATAGCTGCAAAACTACATTTATTAATAGGAGTAGACATCTGGACCAGGTACATATTACACCAGCATATCCAATCACATCTACATCACAAAATTTTACCGCAAAATTCTGTTTCAGACCTAGACACATCCTAACAGCTTAAAGAAAGTGTAACCTAAATTACTCAAAAGCTAAATGACCACATAGAGCAGCAGTGGTTATTCTCCTAACAGCCACTTCCTTATGGGCACGTACTATTCAATGGAACAACATAAGTAGGCAATGGTAGGAACATCAAATTCAGCTCCTAAGTGATAATTGACAGAGAGAATCTTTCCCCGAAGAAATAACACAACAGGAGGAAAATAAAAAACATAGAAAATCTCAGGCCAAATTTATTTTCCGTAAAGCAAAAAAGATGGTGATTGGAAACCAACCAATAATGAAAACAACAAATATTCTTTTGAAACGGGATCACTCAATCCATCGTGCGTCAATATCAAGCAGGCAATTACAATCTCAATGAAACCTAAAATGTGCTTAATCCTAAGGAACCACAATTATAAATCCGATTATATTTACTGTGCCAAACGCATCTCTCTCAAATCAAACTAAATTCAGTTCAACTGGTCAACAACTACAATCCGCACAACAAATAATGAACATTAACCCTTTAATCCACAATCAGATCAAGCAAATCATGAAACATAACCATTTGCCGCATAAAAAAAAAGGGGAAAATTAGATTAGATCCAATTGTACCTGGCGAGTGGATCTGGACAGCAAGCGAGAAGCGAGTGCCATTGATGA